CCTTCTTGAGGTCCTAGGAGAGTGTCTTAGTTCATTCAAGCTGCAGTAACTAAGAGCCACAGACTGGGCAGCTTAACAGAAATTTATTTCTCATAGTTCTGGAGGCTGGAAGTCCAAGGTCAGGGGGCCAGCCTGGTAAGGTGGGACCCTCTTCCAGGCCACACACTTCTCGCTGTGTCCTCACGTGGTGGGAGGGGCAAGGGAGCTCTGTAGGGTCTCTTCTATAAGCACTGATTCCCTTCATGAAGGTGGAATGTGCCATTAGCCTCCCAAAGACCCTACCTCCTAATGCCATTCCACTGGGGGTTAAGATTTCAGTACATGAATGTTGGATGCACACATTCAGACGTCAGCAGAGAGAATCTGTTTCCCTGCCTTTTCCAGTCTCTCAAGGCCACCTGTGTTCCTTGGTTTGGGGCTTCTTTCTCTACCTTCAAACACAGTAGCACCATGTCTTCCGATCTGTGTCCTGCCTCCCTTTTATAAAGACCCTTGTGATGATACTAAGCCACTGGGTCATCTCCCCATCTCAAGATCCTTGACTCAGTCACACCTGCGAAGTCCTTTTACCATGTGAAGTGCATATCCATGGCTTCTGGGAGCCAGGATGTGTTCATCTTTGGGAGGGTTATGCAGTCTTCCACGTGGTTCGATGGGAGGATGTGAGCGCTGGGAGGAGCAGAGTGCAGATCTCATGTCTGCATTGTTCTCCTCGCCCTTTTCCAACACCAACTGGCTTCCTTTACAAGAAAATGCTTAAATCCTCATGTTATACATGGAATGGGCAGAAAGGGACAGAAGTAAGAATTTGAGTAAAACTGAGTGAAAGTTGAAAGTGTCAGTCGTGTCTGACTCTTTGAGACCCCCTTTGAGACTTCCCGGGCTCCTCTGTCCACGGGATTCCCCAGGTAAGAATACTGGAGTGGGTTGCCATTCCCTTCTCCAGGGGATCTTCCCGACCCAGGGGTTGAACCTGGGTCTCCTGCATTGCAGGCGGATTCTTTACTGTCTGGGTCCCCAGGGAAGCCCCGAGCTGCGTGAGGAAGCCCCCAGGTAACAGGGCCTGGAGCTGTGCATCTGCAGTGGCAGAGCTCCATGGTGACCCCCGCAGGAACATCAACACGAATAGGGCGGCTCCTCGGTCCTCTGTGAGGGCCCTGTGTCCTCTAGCTCTACCCATCTCCACGGTGGACCCCTGGTCATTTCCCTGAAGGCCTTGTCTCCAGCATCTCCCCTCCCACCAACCCTCCACAGATCTCTCCGGAAACAGGTCTGAGCACATCCCTGCAAATCTGCCATGGCTCCGGGGGAAAAGTCAAGTTGACTGTCCAGCATTCAAAGGCCCCTAACTTGGTCTTACCACCATTTCGATCCTTCAGATCGAAGAGAAGGCACTGGTCAGGAACCCAGGGGCCCCCTGCTCTGATCCCATTAGTCACATCCACATTTCATACCTTACTCTTCAGCTGCTCCACACAAAATGCTATGAGTGATTGGCTGCATTTTATAAATGCGGAAAAGTGACCAGAGGGGTTGAGTGACTTTCCCAAGGTCACACAGCTGGGAAGAGACAGACCTGAGGTTTGAAGCCAGTTCTTTCGACTTCCTGGAGGCCAGTTCATGGAGCACTGAGCCCAAGGCCAGGCATGTGCCGTGGGCCTGACAAAAGTGCACGGGAACAACGACCTCTGTGGGCTCTCCTGAGCATCTTCTGGCTCTGACCCCGGCAGCCGCCTGTCGGGAAACATCGTAAATTAAAAGCCAGTGAGGTGGACAGCCCAGTGGGATCCCTCACACCAGAGGAGTAATTCATGGCAAAAGACTAGGACTTAAGACAAAAGCCTGCCCGAGTTAGGCTCCATAGGGCTCCCTGCCCCGCCTGGCTCTGCCCCAGGATGCAGTTCACAGTTCTGGCAGCTGCAGGGCAGACGGAGGAAGCTGCCCGGCAGTCCTCTCCCCACCACCACTATGAGGCTGAGGCAAGCAGCCCCGCTTTCCACGCTGACTCCTGCTTCTCCCCCCACACTCTTCTCTCATTTGCTGATGGGGGCAGGGGGGTAATCCAGACTCACCCCCAAAGGGCAGCTTCACAGGCCTCCAAACCCACCGGGCAGAGTGGCCATCTCCTTAGCCAAGCACTAGCACTTGAAGCTCCCTGAAAACCTCCCGGTTTCCTCCTGACACCCTACTCCCGGTGCAGCAAGCAAGACAGTGGCCGGCCCAGCCCCACTCTTTGCTTCATTTGCCTGTGATTAGAGTTATTATTCTTACCACCTCACTAGCAAGAGGAATGGGGCTGTGACCAGGGCAGTGTGGACGGTGCCTGGACTTTGCAGCCTCAGCCCGGCCCTGGGCTCCACTTCGTCAAAGCCCAGCTGTGCACTTGGCTCACCCCACCTACAGTCATGGATCCACAGCCCGGGCACTCCAAGGCCCCCTCATTCCATCACCCTCATCTTCACACGGTTTACTGAGATGCATTTTACTAAGTCAGCTGTTCTAGTCATTCTATCTCTGTCATTAAAACATACAAAGTGGACAAGAACCTGAAAAAGAATATGTATATATGGTCTCATATACATGTGTGTTTGTGTGTGTGTGTGTGTGTGTGTGTGTGCACGCACGCACGTGCTCAGTTGCTCAGTCATGTCTAACTCTTTGTGATCCCATGGACTGGGATACTTATATGTTAGAATATATGTATATATGTATATTAGAATATATATAGGGAGAAGGAAATGGCAACCCGCTCCAGCATTCTTGCCTGGAGAATCCTGTGGACAGAGGAGCCTGGAGGGCTACTGTCCATAGGGTTGCACAGTGTTGGACACGACTGAAGCAACTCAGCATGCATGCATGCCTTGGAGAAGGAAATGGCAACCCGCTCCAGCATTCTTGCCTGGAGAATCCCAGGGACAGAGGAGCCTGGTGGGCTGCCGTCTATGGGGTCGCACAGAGTCAGACACACTGGAACAACTTAGCAGCAGCAGCAGCAGAATAAATATATATATTCTTTTATACTATTGACTTGGCTAAGGGTTTTCATAAGATGTTATGGAAGAACCAAAACAAACTTTTTGGCCCACCCAATATACATACATATAAAAGTGAAAAAAGTGAAGTCTCTCAGTCATATCTGACTCTTTGTGACCCCATGGACCATAGCCTACCAGCCTCCCCTGTCCATGGGATTTTCCAGGCAAGGGTACTGGAGTGGGTTGCCATTCCCTTCACCAGGGGATCTTCCCAACCCAGGGACCAAACCCAGGTCTACCCACATTGTGGGAAGACACTTTACCATCTGAGCCACTAGGGAAGCCTATATATATATATATAAAATTAAATATGTATATGTATATATAAATATAGAACTGAACCATTTTACTCTGCATATGACCAAACATTGTAAATCAACTATACTTACGTTAAAAATAATAATAATAAAATAATCACACATCAATTAGAAACATGCAAGGTGTTTTCAAGATACAGACATGTAATTTCACATTTATAAACCCTTTAAACAAATACACTTTAATAAACATCTTTGTGGGCTTCCCCTTTGGCTCAGATGGTAAAGAATCTGCCTGCAATGCAAGAGACCCAGGTTTGATCCCTGGGTCAAAAAGATCCCCTGGAGAAGGGAATGGCAACCCACTCCAGCATTCTTGCCTAGAGAATCCCATGAACAGAGGAGCCTGGTGGGCTACAGTCCATGGGGTCACACAGAGTCAGACATGAGTGAGCAACTAGAGAGACGGAGAGGGAAGTCTTGATTCATATGGAACAGAAGTGTTCCTTCTTTTCCATACCAGTCGGCATTCTGAGCCTGGGTCTCCTCATCCATGGCATGGGAATGAGGGGGCTGATGTCACATCCTCCCTGAGGTTGTTTCAAAGTTTCATTCATTTATTTAACACATTTAATTGAATACATATTCTGTGTTAGGCACAGTGCTCTGTGTGGGGAATAGCATGGTGAACAGAATTCACAGTTTCTGCTCGATGGAGCTCAGAACTGAGAACAGAAGACAGGCAGAAACAGCCCTCTGAGAAAGTAGACATGTGTTGAACCCTCCGAAGAATCAGGATGGGGAGCCATAAGAAAGAGCTGGGGAACAGTTTGGAATTGAAGGCAAATGCAGGAGGCCTGGCGATGGGCAGGTTCCAGAAGGAACAGAAAGTGGGCTTCTGGGTGGAGGAGGGGGTTGCAGGTCCCTCCCCTGCTCTGGGCCTCAGTTTCCTTATCTGTGCAATGGGTGAGGCAAGGTCGATTGAGGGGAAATGGGGAAAAGCACATGGGGAACATTATGAGCAGAAGATAAATGCTCAGATCAAATCAGAGAAACTTTGGTGTATGCCTGTGTATTGGGGGGGAGGCGGTGGCTCTCATCTGGAGCAGTAGTGGAGACACCCTTCCTTAGCTGAGATGCTAGAAAGCTCTGTTGATTTCCAAATGATCTGCCCCAGGCTGAGGCTCACTTTGAGTTTGTAAAACCCTCCCAGCACAGGCACACTCACGCCAGGAGAAACGCGGGCGCGGGGGCTCCAGGCACCAAGGCCCCGCACGTAGGAGTTGCCCAGCAGGCGCCAAGATGGGCCTGGGGGAACCGGAGTGGCCCAGAGGTGGTCCTGCCAAAGGTCTCGGTCCATCTTCTGGGATCAGCCCCCTGCAATCAGCATGAGGAGGGACACAGACCCTGGCTACTCCTGCAGCCTCCACGTTTGTACCAGGACAGGCCTCGGGCTCACTCTGGACGAACTGGGGGTGCTGGAATCCACATTGGAACAGAAGGTGCCTTCACGGCGGCGGGTGGAGCTGATGATGGAGGGAGGCCTGGGCTGTGGCGCATGGGTCCCCGTGTGCAGACGATGAGGAAAGAGAACCTGCAAAGGGAAAAGACTGCAAAGATCCCTGAGCCAGGCCCCGACAGATGAAAAGGAATCCAGTCCGTCTGTAAGAGAGGAGTGAAGGCAGGCGATGCAGAGGACGGCTCCGGGATGCAGCGCGGGTCCCGCGGGGGTAGCTGGGTCCGCCCGCTGGGCGGAGGAGCCGGGTGCGGGAAGCGGCCTCACCCGGACAAAGGCCGTCCCAGAGGCGTCCGCGGGCGCGCGCTGCCCCCTGGCGGTGAGTGGCTCCCCGCGCAGCCCGCGAGCCTGCTGCTTTTGTCTGCAGGTGCCAGCTCCCCGCCAGGCTGGCTGGAAACCGGTTAGATTCTGGGCACTGCAGTTCGTGGCCTGCAAGCCCGCTCAGAGCTTCCGTTTCCCCCTGTATAAAATGGGGACAAGGAGGGCCCTGATTCATGGGTTTGGGGGGTGGAGTGGGGAGGGGAAGCGCAGGGATTGGCGGTGCTTCTGGATAGCGGCACAAGAGGCTGATTTCCCCCCTCCGCCCTCACCCCCCTACCAGCTTAACACCAGCTGCCAATGCAGGAGACGTGGGTTCGATCCCTGGGTCAGGAAGATCCCCTGGAGAAGGAAATGGCAACCCACTCCAGTGTTCTTGCCTGGAGAGCTCCCATGGACAGAGGAGCCTGGTGGTCTACAGTCCATGGGGTCACAAAGAGTCGGTTGCTACTTAACGATTAAACCAAAACAACAAATGAGATATTGGTCTCATTCTGACCCTGGTTACAGCTCCTTCACAAGTTTCATAAGAAATATCATTTGGAACAGATTTGTGGTTGCCAAGGTTGGGGGATGGATAGAGTGGGAGTTTGGGATTAGCAGATGCAAACTATTACATACAGAATGGATAAACAACAAGGTCCAACTGTATAGCACAGGGAATATTCTGGGATAAACAACAATGGAAAAGACTATGAAAAAGAATGTAAATGAATCACTTTGCTATACAGCAGAAATTGCAAATCTGTTCTTTCAGTAAAAATGTTTTTGTTTAAAAGAAAAAGAAAAAAAGATCTACTCATCTGCACCATTTTGTGAGCTTGCATAGAATTTTATACGGGCTTTGGCGGTGGGAGGCAGCTGGGGGTCCCAGCACACAGGGACTCTGGATACCCTTCCTCCCCTGCCCCCCACCCTCATTCTTCTTGGCCTGCGTCTTGGAGAACAGCTCTTGTTGCTGGAGTGACAAGCCCTCAAGGTCTCACTGTACATCCCCAAGCATTGTTCCTAAGAAAATTCCATAAGGTCCCTGAGAGGAAGTGTGGGAATTCCTGAGTGGCGTGTCCTTCACTTTGGTCTCTGGGAAGGGTGTGAAGGTAGATTCAAATTACCTTCTTCCTGGAGCAGATGGGTCACCTATTCATCCTGCGAGCTCTGCTTCCTTCTGTGATGTGATCCTTTTCTGTTCTACTGGATACAGGAGGAAGAGAGAGGGAGCGAGAGAATGGGAAGGAATCAGTTTGAATCCGTTCGCCGGGGCTGCCGTAACGAGTACCACAGGCTGTGTGCTTAAACAACAGAAATGTGTTCCCTCACAGGTCTGGAGCCGGGAGCTTCACGCTCACGGCGCCAGCAGGCTTGGTTCCCTCTGGGGCCTCGCAGCATGCCTTGCAGGTGAGCATCTTCTCCCTGTGTCTGCACGCGACCTTCCCTCTGTGGGGCTGTGTCCGAATCTCCTCTTCCCACGAGGTCACACATGTTAGATTAAGGCCCACCTGCATGGCCTTTTACTTAATTTTTTACTTAATCACCACTTTAAGGAATCTATTTCCAAATACAGCCCCATTCTGAGGTACTGAGGCTTAGGGCTTCAGTGTATACATTTTGGGGTACATGATTCATCCTATAACAGCGAGAAAGAAGGAAGGAAAAGGGAGGAAGAGAGGGAAGGATGAAGGAAAGAATGGAAGGAAGGACAGGGAAAAGAACAAAAGGAGACAGTTTGTCCGTGTGGACAGCTCGTCCTTTTGCTCTCTCCCTCTCACTGGACTTTACGTGATGCAGTGATGCTGGCTTACAGATGAGGCCCACACAACCTGCAGCTGTGAGTGGCGTTCTAAAGGCAATGTCCCATGAGAACTTGGGTTTCCATTTCCTCTTGAATGAGGTTTCTTGCCCCGCATTCTGAAGGAGGGATGGGAGCCCATGTCTGGCAGGGTTTTAGCAGTGAGGTTCCCCACCCTGCCCACCTCGCTCACCACCTTACCTGCTCAGGCTCTGCAGAGGTCTAGGCTGGAGGTCCCTGCTGTGGAAAAAGCAGGGTCACAGCCCTGGTGGATGTGGCTAGAGAGGAGAGGCTTTCAGGGGACTCAGAAAGGTAGACGGGCACAGTGGGGAAAGCTGGGGTTTAGACAGAGCTGAGTTTGAATCCAAGTTCCAGTATTTGTAAGCTGCTTGGGACTTTGGGCAGGGGGTGCCTCTCTTGTAGCCTCAACTTTCCCCTCTGTGAAATGTGTAGGGTGATGCCCTGCCACCCAGGGCTGTGTAAGGATTAAATCAAATGAAGGCATTTATACCAAAGGGCTTGGCACATCGGAGGCTCTCAATAAACACCATCCCAGCTCAGGAGATTTCATCGAGTGTGGAGCTCACTTGAGCTCCTTTCTTCAGCATCACCCCCATGGAACTGTGTTTCCAGGCAGTCTTTTAAATGAACACTTTTCGTGGGTGGCAGTGGGTGAGTCCTGGGCTGGGAATCAAGGGTTTGAGAGTCTCCCAGCTTCAGCTGCAGAGAACTCTCTCCATATATGGCTTTGGGTAAGTTGTTTTATTCTCCTGATGTCCCTAGCTCCACAGAGGAATAGGAGACAAGGGTGCTGGGGTCGTGGGTCGGCAGTGGGGAAAGGGTACTGGGATTTGCTGTGTGTCCCCACGTGCTGGGTGCTCTGTGCATCCAGCATCTGCCACGTGGCTCCCCAAGGGCCCTGTCCCTGCCTACTTGTCACAGCACTCCATCTGTGCGGGAGCATGGCGCCCACTATACACAGGGGGAAACTGAGGCACAGGCCAGTGAATGACCATACCCAAGGTCCTATAGATTGGAGAAAGAAGGTTCAGAGTTTGATTCCAGGATTGTCGCTGCAGAGTCTTTCTTCCCCTGGACCAGGCTGTCTTTGGAGGGGAAAGAACTAACCTGGAGCACCATTTCTGGGCAGTCAATTGGATTCTTCTAGGTCCCAAGTTCTTTGACTCAACTCCAGGCATCAGTGTTTTTGGAATGAATTCAGGAACAAGAATTCTGCGTGTGCCCATGAGGACAGTTGTGTGGGATTTTGGAGGAACTGTGGTGCAGAGAGGAAGCTAGGGCAGAAGAGCATTTGCCATCTCCTTTCATTCTGAGCCAACCCCTTGGCGCGTACACCAGACTCACTCGCTCACTCACTCACGTATTCAGCCCTCCCTCCGTTTGCTCTTCAGTCATTTGTTCAGGATTTATCTGTTGGGGGCCTGCTCCTTGCCACGGCTGAGGACTACCAGCTGGGGGTGGAGTGGAGGCCTGCTCCCTTCCTTTGCGGAGTCTGCACATGCGAAAGGGGCGCAGTGAGTATACAAAGTGTGAACTGGCAGTGAGAGGCAAAAGGACAAGACGGAAGGGGATGGCAGCTCTCCAGCAGGTGAAGAGGAATATATCCTCGTCATGTGGGAACAAGAGGCAGGTCTGTCACAGGGCTCAGCAGAGACCGGAAGTAGCTTTCTGGGGAAGGGCATGCTAGGCAGAGGGAACAGAAGGTGCAAAGTGTCTGAGTAGATGAGAGGTTAGTGCCTGAGGCAGGGGGAGGGGAGTCGGGAGAGCTATGGGGGCAGGTGGGCAGGCCAAGGAAGCACTTTGAGTTTTATTCTGAGTGAGATGGCCGCCACTGGGGAGCTCCATGCAGGGACCCCTTGGTCCCCAGGAAGCTGGAAGTAGCTGAAATGATCCAGGCTTGACCGGGCGGTTGTCTGCAGTGCAGGATGAGCAGGAGCCGGGCCAGAGTCTGAGCACCTGCATTCGTGATGGACTGGATGGGGAGCCGGAGAGCGAGTCTGGGCTGAGGCAAGGGTTGGGCTCCAGCACCTGAAAGAACGGGAGTGAGGTCTACCCGCATCTTTGTGCGGCCAGTCAGCGCGTCTCTGTCCTAGTCAGTCCTCGGAGCAGCGTCCCTGATGGGGAGGGACGGGGGGAAGGTCCGTGACACTCATTTGTGATGAGACCCTGCAGGGCAGAAGCGGTCCTCAGCTTCCTGCGCTGAGGCCTGAGGAGCGGCCGAGGGACGTCAGCGTGGACTCCCCGCAGCGCTTCCTCGCCCAGACCCGCGCGGTGCCCTCCCTGCAGAGGGAGCCCGTCAGGCTGCTCCTGCCCGGGCTTGTGGACCAGAAAGCCCGGCTCGGAAACGGGATGTGGCCGCCTGCCTGTGACCCTCTGAGCTGGCCTCTCTGGGTGGGCGGCACGGGACGCTCAGGGTCTGGCTCACGCACCAGCGCCTCCTAAGTTCGGGTGAGGTCCGACAGACCCAGACCGGCCCTCCTCTCCGTGCCCCTGCGAGCCTCGGGCGTCGGGCCTCGGACCGTGCTTGGCACGCTGAGCTGTTCTCGGTTGCCAGGCAGCCCCGTGTGTTGCTCGGTAACAGGGAAAGGCACTGCCCCACAAATGAAGACTCAGCATCTCCTGTGTGCATCGGCACAGGTGCATGGGAACACATGCATCCATGTATGCGTTTGAGCATTCGTGAACCAAGAACTTCCAGATGTACAACCTGGGTTTTGAAGAGGCAAAGAAACCAAAGATCAAATTGCCAACATCCGCTGGATCATAGAGAAAGCAAAGGAGTTCCAAAAAAACATCTACTTCTGCTTCATTGATTATGCTAAAGTCTTTGACTGCACAGATCACAATAAACTGTGGAAAATTCTTAAAGAAATGGGAGTACCACCACCACCTGTCTCTGAGAAACCTGTATGCTCATCAAGAACAACAGTTAGAACTGGACACAGAACAATGGACTGGTTCCAAATTGGGAAAGGAGTACGTCAAGGCTGTGTATTGTCACCCTGCCTATTTAACTTATATACAGCCTACATCATGCAAAATGCTGGGTTGGATGAATCACAAGCTGGAATAAGTTTGCTGGGAGAATTATCAATAAACTCAGATATGCAGAGGACACACCCTTATGACAGAAAGTGAAAAAGAACTAAAGAGACTCTTGATGAGGGTGAAAAGAGGAGAGTGAAAAAGCTGGCTTGAAACTCAACATTCAAAAAACTAAGATCATGGCATCTGTTCCCATCACTTCATGGCAAATAAAAGGGGAAACAGTGGAAGTAGTGACAGATTTTATTTTCTTGGGCTCCAAAATCACTGTGGACAGTGACTGCAGCCATGAAACTTAAAAACGTTTGTTCTTTGGAAAGAAATCTATGACAAGCCTAAATAATATATTAAAAAGCAGAGACATTACTTTGCCAACAAAGGTCCATATAGTCATATCTATTCTTTTTCCAGTAGTCATGTATGGATGTGAGAGTTGGGTTCTTTATAGAAGGCTGAGCACCAAAGAATTGATGCCTTCAAATTTTGGTGCTGGAGAAGACTCTTGAGAGTCCCTTGGACTGCAAGGAGATCAAACCAGTCATTCCTAAAGGAGATCAATCCTGAATATTCATTGGAAGGACTGTTGCTACAGCTCCAATACTTTGGCCACCCGATGTGAAGAGCCAACTCATTGGAAAAGACTTCGGTGCTAACAAAAATTGAATGCAATAGGAGAAGGGGACAGCAGAGGATGAGATGTTTAGACGGCATCACCAACTCATTGGACATGAATTTTAGCAAACTCCACAAGATAGTGAAGGACAGGGAAGCCTGGTATGCTACAGTCCATGGGGTCGCAAAGAACTAGACATGAGTGAGTGACATGAGTAACAACAACATGTGTTTGAGCATTTGGTGGGCAAGTCAAAAGGAGAAGGGTGTTGACAGGCACCTTGCCCACCCACTAGATGCCTGACCCTGCCAAATAACAATACTCATGCCTAGAGGAGGAAATGGGCTCAATCAGTCTTCCCTCCCCGAATCAGAAGTCCATTATGGCAAACTCAGGGGGTTCACCCCACACCCTCACCAGGCCTTGTGTGCATTTGGAGCGCATGCAAGTTGAATGAAGAGCTGAAGGGGCAGCTTGTTATGAAGAGCTCCATGGCCCTGTCTCTGGATCCCACACCGACCCTGTGGTTACAAGCCTCAGTTTACAAGGAAAGAGTCGCGCTCAGAGAGAGGCACGCGGAGTCCCAGGGGGCCCGCCCTGGTGGGGCTGGGGCACAGAGTGGCTCAGGCCCCAGGGCAGCCTGCAGACTCTTCTCTCTCCATCGTCCCCGCTGTGCCAGGCGGGGAGGAGCGCTTTGAGACGTCATGCAGACTGGACCAAGTCCCTGTGACCAGACCCCACTCTCTATGCAGCCTGGGCCAGTCACTTCTTTTCTGTGTCAGTCAGTGTTTTACTCTATAAAATAATAGAACTCCCCTCAGAGGATGGACTGGAGAACAAGGCGAGAGGGCCAGTGCCCTACGTAAGCCGTAATAATGATAGTAGGTGAGAGCTTGCCACGTTCCAGGCGCCATTGTAAACTCTTTATTCATCATATTATTTAATCATCACAAAGCCCCCTGACGTCAGTATCATCCTCTGTGGATCCTCTGTGGTTCCAGATGGAGAAACTGAGGCTCTTGATCTTGCAATGGTGCCCACACCGCAAGGGGAACCCCGTGGTTTGCATGGTAACAGGCTGAGCGGGAGGGCTTCCCAGTGGCTCAGCGGGTAAAGAATCCGCCTGCAATGCGGGAGACCTAAGTTCGATCCCTGGGTTGGGAAGATCCCCTGGAGAAGGAAAAGGCTACCTGCTCCAGTATTCTGGCCTAAAGAATTCCGTGGGCTGTATAGTCTGTGGGGTCGCAAAGAGCCAGACATGATTGAGTGGTTTTCATTTTAGTGGCCTCCCATCATAGCTCAGTTGGTAAAGAGTCTGCCTGCAATGCAGGGGACCCGGGTTCGATTCCTGGGTCGGGAAGATCCACTGGAGAAGGAAAGGACAACCCACTCAGGTATTTTTGCCTGGAGAATCCCATGGATGGAAGAGCCTGGCGGGCTACAGTCTACGGGGTTGCAAGAGCCCTGCACGACTGGGTGACCAAGCCCACAAGCGCACAGGCTGAAGGGCCGTTACTGTTACCCACACCTCTGAAATCAACGCTCTTGGGGGTTAAGTAATCTAAGGGTGAGTCTTCTCCCTCCTTCTCCGCTCCTCCCCTTAAAGGGCGGGGGGCGGGGGGCGGGGGGCGGGTCCCAGGGCAGGGAGGAGCTCAGAAGCCGGCTTCTGGCAGCAGCTGGGAACTTCACCCAGGCTATGCGGGGACTTGGCTGTGGCTATACTGCCCTCAAGTGGCAAAGATGCAGCATAGCCCTTGGTGCATTGGCCCAGGCTACGCAGACCACAGACGACTCCTGAAAGAACGGTGTTCCTCGGATGGAGCCTGGATCGGTCCCCTGTGTGCTATAAAAATTAATCTGTATTTGTGTATTTCCTAGTGTGAGGAGTAAGTAGGTCTTTGGGAGCTTCTGCAGACAGCGCCTGTTCCCCTTTTCGTCCCCTTGTGGCAGCAATGTGCTGGTCACAGTTAACTACTGGCTTCCAGGGCATAAAACCAGAATCTATGCAGCATTTGCCAATTTCTATGGTGCAGATGCTCTCAGCGTGTGGGAGCCTGTGCTCCCTGTGTGGGAACCGCTCGGAGGCGACCCTTGTGCTTAGGGCTATGGAAACCTCAGGGCTGAGCAGGCTTGGGGCTCTGCTTCGGAGATATGGTATTCCTCTGTGCTCATGTATTCATTCGTGTCTTTAGGGGCTTTTTGTTTGACCACAAATAAAATGGTGCCTCATACATTTCTCTTCGACTTGTTATTTTTACCTAAGGCTCTTGGCCATCTCCCTAGGTCTTCTGCTGGGTAACGGGTGCACAGTGATCCCCTGGAGAGATTACCTCAATTTATTCCCACTCTCACCCCCATCCCCCACACCAGTCCCGGAATCTCCCAGGTGGATTCCTCCTCTCCTGTCTCCACATTCAGTGCATCTTCATGTGTGTGTTTTAATATCTAGTGGGTAGATTTTTCAAGAGTAGTATTCCTGGGCCAAAAGATAAGTTTTTACGAACCTACAATATTTTTTTCCCCTAGAATTCCTTGTAAAATGATTGCAGCCATCAGCAACTCCCACACCATCGTTAGAGGAGGACCATTCCCCACATCAGAGCTTCCCTGGTGGCTCAGAGGGTAAAGAACCTGCCTGCAACACAGGAGACCAGGGTTTGAAACCTGGGTTGGGAAGATCCCCTGGAGGAGGAATGGCAACCCACTCTAGTATTCTTGTCTGGAGAATTCCATGGAAAGAGGATCCTGGAGGGCAGTTCATGGGGTTGCAAAGAATCATACATAACTAAGCCACTAACATTTACTTACTTAATCTCCACATCAGAATCAGATTGACCATTCTTTTGAATGTTGCAAATATAATGGATAGAAACAACATTTCATTTTATTTTGCACTTCCCTAATTACAAAAAGATTTGCTTTTTCGTATTTTTTGTTTAATTTTAGATTCATTGTTAAATTTGTAGGAGTTCTTCATATACTGGGAAAAATGGACTCTCTGTCACATATGTAATGTTTTCCTGAAACATTTTGATTTTGATTATGGTATCTTTTGCTTTTCAAAAATTTAAATATATTGTGCAGTCTTCTCTGTTTTTCCTACCTGTTAAAGCACCTGGGTTTCCTGACGACTTGTTTTATTTTTATTTTTTAAATTTTTATTGAAATATAGTTGATTTATAGTGTGTTAGTTTTACATGTACAGCTAAGTGGTTCAGATTCTTTTTTACAATTCTTTTCCATCACAGGTTATTACAAGATATTGAATATAGCTCCCTATGCTATACAGTAGATCCTTGTTGATTATTGTATATACAATAGTGTGTATATTCTCCTGACTTGTCTTAGATCATCTCCATTCAAAGATATTTTCCTAAGATGTCTTCTATTATTTTCATTTTGTTTTTTAAATTTAGATTATTAATTTACCTTGAATCTTTTATTTTAAATGTATGATCAATGTGGCCCAGATACTGTTTTCCACCAGATGTCAAGTACCATATATTCCTCGTTGAAAATGAAAGGCCACCATTTTAAATATCAAATTTCCCTGTGAATTTGGTGTGTTTCTAACACTCTGCCCTGTATCATTACCTTCTAGCTGGTCATTGCCCTACTGTACTTTTGCTGTCTCTTAAATTAGCTTTTTTGTTTGTTTGTTTCTGGAAGTATTTTCCCTTTTCAAGAATATTTTGCATTTTCTTGACATTTTTTTCTTTCATAAGAACTTGAAAATAACTTTGTCCTCTTCAAAACCTATTGAGATCCTAACTGAAATGGTAAGAGTTTATGGTAATTCATTTTCCTATTCAGGTACCTGAATTTTTTTCTTTTTTCTGCTCACTAAGACATATTTTGTGCCTTCATTAAGGCTGGACAGCTTCATTCATATAGGTGCTGTACCTTCTGTGTTCACTTGGTTGCTAAGTATTTTATAAGTTGTCTTTGATCTAAATAATTTTATTTTTTTCCAGTTTACTTCTAAATAGGTCAGTGGAATGCAGAGAAAAGACAATGAGCTCATCAGTACCTTTAAAGGAGAGCATAACTGGGGATATTGCTGTTTCCCAAACCCTAACTCAGGTTAATAAGAGGAGGCCAGGCTTCCCCTGGGCCTCGCAGGCTTGGGGAGTGGAGGTCGAGGGTGGCTTTCTGGCTCCTCAGTCAGAGACAGCCCTCCCCAGCCAGGAGGCAGCTGTGATCAGGGGAACAGCAAGATCTCAGGCATCAGACAGAGCAAGGTCCACAACCTAACTATGTCCTGTGAGCTGAGTGCCCTTGGGCAAGTCACCACCTCCCTGGGCGTCTGTTTTCTCACCTATAAACCAGAAATAATAAGCCTTGACTCAGAGCTTTGCACATCGATGGGCCTGATAGATTTCTTTTCCCTCTCACCCCTGAAATCTGGCTGCACCTGACTATTCTTGACGCCCATATCTGTTCTTCCGCAGTTGGCCGTCCCCGTACATCAGTTCTGGGGGCACAGCCGGAGCCCTCTGTGTCCAGAGGGAAGATGCCTCCTCTTCTGAGCCGGCTCCGGGCAGCCAGGTAGACGTGGAACATGTGCCCGAGACTCCAGAGTCACCAGCAAACGGAAATCCTGCTGTGACTGCCCACCAGCCTTCCTTCTGGATCAGCCGTCTCCTGTGCCTCCTGGCACCTGTGTATCTTAGGTGCCCCTCAGATATTACCCCTGCAGGGCTTACCAGCACCTCACTCTTTTGGTTTAAAGGGGCTGATCTGGCCTCAGCCCCAGAACCCCACTCAAAGACCCCCATTAATGCAAGTGCTCTCTCTGTCTGCACTCTGCCTTGCCCTCCACGCGTGGCCTCTTGAGGGGTATTGTGAATGTCCCTCAGGACCTATAAGGGATAAACTTCCCCGGGGGCTCAGACGGTAAAAAAATCCGCCTGCAGTGAGGGAGTCCTGGGTTCGATCCCTGGATTGGAAAGATCCCCTGCAGAAGGGAACAGCCGTGTTCTAGCACCTGGTTCCGCTGTTAGCAAGCATTCATTTAATAACACCCTAAATCCCTCCTTGCCCTTGAAGTTTCCTCTTGGCAATTTTCCAGGCACTGACCCCCTCTGCCCCTTGGCTCTAGGTTTTCACCTGCCCACGATATGCTTGGAGTCGAGCCCAATCTCTCTCCTTGGCTACAAGACCCCAGGACAGTGTCCCCCTAACCATGACAGTGTCCCCCTTTGAATAACATCTTCCTTACTCATTTCCACAAGTGTCATGAATAGTTTTCCTTTTTTGGCAAGGGTTGGGGAGTGAGAGTTGTGGCTTTAGACCCTATCAGCCCCTCACTTGCTGTGTGACCTTGGACAAGTCATGGTACTTCCCCAAGTTCCTGTTTCGTTATCTCTGAAGTATTGTGTGGAAAAGGCTTGGCTCAGGATGATGTATGTGTGTATGTGTGCGTCCAGATCTGGAGCAGGAAGTGTATAAGAAGAATCTGGCATGTCTTGTCCTGCCTAAAAGTAAGAAGCTATCAAAGAGCCGATTTGAAGGACTCCTCCCTCGGCTTAGGGATGGGATAATTTTAGCATCAGAAAGAATAATGACTGCACTGGATTGAAACACAGCAAATGTATAGAATCTCTGAGTTCATAATGATACTACTTCTTACTTTTGGAGGTTGCTAGGATACCAGTTTATTATTCTGAAAATTGATAAATACTGAGAAAGAATAAAACATTTATCTCGCCTTGCCTCTATAGACCATATTTCAGGATAAGCAGATGGTTGATGGAATATTCTTCTTTGGGGAAGACTCTAAGCTAACAAATACAGGAGCTATGATAGAGTTAGAAACTCAATTCTTTTACAAATAAAACACTCCATCTCGGCAACGGTTACTAATTTCTGCTAAAACTCTCAAGGGACAAATCAGTGTGGTGACTGACCTGGGGCGATCTGGTGGCCATCGCCTTAACTTTCTGGGTGATTTGACAATACTGAAGTGCGACCACCCAGACACAAGGAACTACTCAAGAGGACACACAGATTGTGAGAGGTTCACAGCACTACCTTAAGGTATCCTTGCAAAAATCACTCACCTGGAATCCCAAGCCTCTAGTACTGAGTTTTAGAGATACGTGTGGGGCAGGGGAACTTATCAGCATCGTCAGTCAATCCGCCAAGATCAAAATGTGAGAAATGCTACCGGAAAAATGACCCTGTTTCTTCAAGAAATGAATGGCAGGCAGGTGAGAAGGGGAGCCTCACTAAAAGACAATTAAGAGTTATCAAAAAATGCATTGTTGGATCTTGTATTTAGATACGGGGCTTCCCTTGCGGCTCAGCTGGTCAAGAATCCACCTGCAATGTGGGAGACCTGGGTTCAATCCCTGGGTTGGGAAGATCCCCTGGAGAAAGGAAAGGCTACCCACCCCAGTATTCTGGTCTGGAGAATTCCATGGACTGTATAGTCCATGGGGTCGTAAAGAGTCGGACACGACTGAGTGACTTTCACTTTCACTTTTCTAATAAACCAACTGTAGAATGACATTTTGAAGGCAAATGGGGAAAAGTGAACATAGATGATATTCAGTAAGTACTACTTATTTCATTGGATATAATTTTGAGAAGTCCTCAAGTGACAGAAATTCATACTGAGTAAGCGGTCCAGGCTGTCTGGATCCTAATGAAGACACCGGTGCTCCCCTGGTGGCCCCCTGGCACCAGCATCGCTGCCCGCACAGCTGGGAAGGGAAGAGATGGACACCTTCCTCTGCGCTCCCGTCTCCTCCACACCCTCCCTCCCGACTCCGTTCACCCTCTGCCTACCGAGGTCTAGATCCCATCTGCGCTGGGCTGTGCCTAGTCGCTCAGTCGTGTCCGACTCTGAGACCCCATAGACTGTGGCCTGCCAGGCTGCTCTGTCCGTGGGGATTCTCCAGGCGGGAACACTGAGTGGGCTGCCATGCCTGCTCCTAGGTCCTGTCTACTTCTCTCCAAATCTGACCCCACCATTCACACTCAGAGAATTTTTTAGCTGGGCTTCCCCCACACACACTGCTGCTCCTAGCTAGTTCACTCTGCCCCGGGCAGCTAATCCAATCCTTTTAGACAAATTAGAGCAACACTAGCTGCAAAAAGAAATAAACCCTCGAATTCTATGCCTCCACCTACAGAATTAATGTCCTAGAATTTCTAAGTCGCTGTCCGATGTGGACAGTCCCAGTTGGTGAGAGACTTGTCTACAAGGTAACTCAGGAGGCAAGGCGCCTTTATCTCGTGGCTCTGCCCACCCCCAGAGCCCCAGACCCTCTGCGTCTGGTGGTGGAGCTGGAAGAGGGTACTAGGACTGTGCTTCTTGTTTTTAAGAGTTCCACCCTAGTGATGTCACCTCACTTCTGCTCACATTTCACTGGTAGGAACAAGTCACGTGGCCGCCACTGGATGTAAAAGCAGGCTGGGCAATGTAGTCGCTGGTTGGGCAGCTGTCTCCCAGAAACAATGCCAGTGCAGAAACTCTCCCTATAGGGAAGATAATACACACACAGCACTGAGGACCATGCCTGGCGCATAATGAGTGCTTAATAAATGTTGCCATGTATTATTTAACCAATATCCACACATTACTCTAAAAACTAAGATAGAACACAAAGGTTTACAATAAACATTAATTTTCCCTTCCATCCTTTAGTCCCTTTGCTCAGAAAGCCAATGTCCTCGGTTTCCACTGCATTCTTCCATTTTATACACACACACACACACACACACACACACACACATATGTTAAGTCACTCAGTCATGTCTGACTCGTTGTGGCCCTATGAACTGTAGCCCACCAGGCTCCTCTGTCCGTGGGATCCTCCAGGCAACAATACTGGAGAAGGTGGGTCACCATTCCTTCCTCCAGGGGATTTTCTCAACCCACGGATTGAACCCGAGTCTCTTATGTTTCCTGCATTGACTAGTGGTAAAGAATCCACCAGTGCCACCTGGAAAGCCTCATATGTGCATACATACACACACACACACACATGTACACACCCATGTGTAAAGGAACAAATACATATGCATATCTATTTTTAAATGGCAGTGATATCACACTGTGTATTTGCTTTGTTTCCACTGAGCAATGTATCTTGGAGAGCATTTGAAATCTGAAGCTTGATCAGACGCATTCATTTTACCAATGTCATAGATTTCCACTGAATGATGGGAAAGTAATTTGAGCATTCTTCTACTGATGGGGAAGATGTTTGTGTAATTTCCCTTTTATTTGTTTTTCCAATTGGGTCAAAGAAAGACAAATAACCTATGGGCTGCCTGTGTATAAAGACAAGAGCTTACAGGAGGGTGTTGCGCTGGGCAGGCGTGAGTTCAGAGCCACGCCAGGCTCCTGGAGACCCGATAGGTTGCCTTCTGCACACCCCACCAGCCGCAGCGCTTTGGACAAAGGACTGAGACCTGAGGCAAGGGGACGTGATACAGACATGATCATGAGCGCAAACAGTTTGGAGAAGCTGGTGGGACTCAAATACACACACATATTTATTAAGTAAATGAACCCTCCCGACTTCTTCAGCCCGGACAAGTCACGTGTTCTGGCTGCTGATTTGGCTCTTCATGCAATGTGGCTGCTCTCCAAAAAAGCAGCTGGAGAGAGGAGGAGAACATGTGTAGTAACCTGGTTGGCGGGGATGTTCCCCCCAAACTGCAGCCTTCTCTGCATGCCATTTGAAATGATTCATCCAGTCCCCCCTCCTACTTTGCTGCTCCTGTGTTTCTCCGTGGGTTTGTGCAGCTCAAACCTGAGTCCAATTCCCCAATCACATGCCCATTCATCCTCCAGTCATTTCCGGGGTGCCTGTCATGGAGCAGATGATGAATGGACCACATTCAAACAAAGCTTGTGTGGCTCACCGAGAGCTCACCTGGCACCGTGATGCCCTCTCCACCCCCGCCACCTTTCTGACTGCTCCCCACGAGCCAGACTTAGGGTGCTGGCAAGCAGTGCCCCACTGGGGCCACAGCAAACTTCCGAGGGAGTGCCCAGGGACCATCAATCATCACTAGTACTAACACTTTGATTGCAAAGCTCTAGGCATTTTGCCTGTGGATAAGAAGTGAACACCAACCACACTATTTCATGCCTTGACTTAAAGCCATTTAATCTTGCTCAACACTCAATTAATAAGAAGACAAATAGGTTTTCCTTCTTGGGAAAATCTCAGTGTTCTTAGGAACCAATGCATACCCTCTGCACATACGGTTCTGAAAGCCAGCGCCAGTCTCCAACTGCCTCCCCAGAGGTGTCTCAGAGACACCCCACTGTAACCAACCGTGAAGTCATCATCTGCCCCATCTTGCCATAGCCTGGCCTTTTGCCAGCATTCCCAGGGCCAGCCTCCCTGCCCCCAGTCAGATGCCACTGTCAGATGAATCCCTTATTCATCGCCTCTCTCTCCTCCACTCACACCTCACCATCCCTAGCTCTGGTCTGGTCTCCATCCTGTCTCTCTTTCTGCCCTTCTGCTGGGCAGGCCACGTCACCTCCTGCACAGGCTATCACCACGAGCAGTTCTGAAAGTGTGGTCTGCAGACAAGGGGGCACCCCAACTTCCTTCCGGGGTGAGCTGCAAGATTAAAACTCTTTCCATGAGAATACCGAGGCATTGTTTACATGTTTCACGGTGTTGATATTTGTACCGAGGGT